CGGCTGGTAGTGGTTAAATACAGTCCCACTCTGTAAACTTCACTGAAAACTATATGTAAGGAGTCTATCAAGAATGTGGCACACATTTTTTTAAAATGGTTATACTCGGACTCACAAAGTGAACAAACTTCCAGACAAATTATTTTCCTAACTCTTGCCACAGCATCTATTATTTATTAATTTGCCAGATACCAAATCTGTTTTGGGCAAGCTGGCATCAGTCATATGGGCTGGTAGGCCCTAAAACATACATCAAACAAACAAAGGACTCCCAGGTCCGACATACATGTACCAGTACATCTATTGTCATTTGGCTTACATGCCAATCACAAATCAATGGGCTCCCAGGCCCCAGGAACAATCATGGAATAATAGAATGATCCATCCAACCTTTTAGGGTCAGCGCTGGTTGTGATATGGAACATACAGCACCCCACCCCCTTGGGTACATAAGAGGGTATGGCTGACCCCTTACAAATTACAGTGTATTATGGCAAACATCAGTGTCAGCAATAATTTCATTGGTACACACATGTACAATGTATCATAACAGTAAAGATGCATGTCACATCTTGTATGTATTAGGAAGTGGCTATCTTTGAATCCTGTTAAAAAATGCCACTCAAACCAAATATTCTTCAAAAAGGCAGGTGCTGGGGTGGTGGTAGGCAAATTGACCCAGCTTGCCCAACAAGCTGTGACAGAATGATCCTCACATAAGAATTTTCCTCCAAAACTAGCATTGCCTGACAGAAGTAATCTGACCCCTTGCCTGATTGGCTAAAACAATGGACTGTGATTGGCTACCAGTTAGTGCACAGTAACTCTGATTGGCCCAATTTATGAATAAGTAGTGCTAGAATCCTCTTCAGAATCCACCTTTTGTGAAACCTTCAATTTTCAAACTGTCATAGCTGCAAGAAAGGGAGGGGGGCAATTGAATGCAAACTGATGCAGATTTGTGGGGATCTGTGGCAGCTTTCTGGAACCATGAATATAGCAGTGCAGATTTTACAGCATTCTTCCTGTAACCATGAAAAGGTACATGCTTGTGATCCCACCTTATGCATAAAGAGTTGGGATGAGTGTAAAAAAAAACATCTGCTCGGAAGTGTGTCAGCTATCTAGGGAAGTGCACATAGGACTGTGAGCCTATATCTAATACAGTAAGATTCTTCAAACCTTGCAAAATACATGCATTGTGACAGACCCTCTTAATTTCATCCAAACCATAAGCTTTCCAATGGGTATCTGGAGGAGGTTCATTACATGACCAGCAGAAACTGGGCTAAAATTAAACTTAAGTTGGGTATAATCCTTGTCAACTTCCAAATATCAAAACCATTTCAATCAAGGAATCAAAAGGTCATCTTGCTTCTACCCAACATTTGATCCTCATCGTGAGTTGTGTTGGCAAGATGTTGGGCTTATATGGCACTTTGTCATAGTTGAAGACATTCCTCTGTCATCCACTTGGCCTTCTTTGACAACACTTCCAGCATTTTAATGGGGTTATAGATATTGCACAATTCCAGAAATACCGATGTGAAGAAACTTGATGCCTAGTTAGGATCTTCAGCAAATGTTAGCAACTTACTTGCATCAGGCAATAGCCCTGAATGCATAATACATTTCATACAAGTGAGTGAAGAGACTACAGAATCTCACACTACTGGGTGAGACCGTTTTTTGTGTTCCGTTTCAAGACGCGATTGAGGCACATGCCAACCACACTGATGCACAAATTGGCCCAGCCTGGACAAAACACTACAAGGCATGTGACATCTGAGTGTCACTCTGGGACACCACTGTACAATGTACTGCAGAGGGTGTACTGCAGTGGATCACAGTTGAGCAGTACATTTCAAAAAGCTTGGGAAATATACACAGGTAGACATTGTTCGGATGAGTGCTCTCTAGTACTGATCACCAGCTTCTCCCTGTCATTATTTTACAGTCATGTAAAGGGAGTTTCTTCCAGGTTTGTTTGTTTTTTCTTTTATTTCCACACATCACAAAAAGTCAAGTAACACAGTTACTTACAAAATGCATAAGAGATGATGAATGGCCACTTCCAAGCCAAAAGTAGGTACGTGGTGTTGATAAAAATACACACTTTGTAACACATTGTTTATTTCCGTCATTTGCTCAATTATTCGCTCCCTCCTTTTGCTTTTTAATTTTTTGTTGCTTGTTTTACATACAAGTCCTTGGTAATAATAATTAGTAATAACTGATTGATCCATTCATTTATATAATAGATGGGGACTGTTAATTTGGACAATAATACCTACAAGAGCAGTGAGGATATGGATACAAAAATTCTGATTTACTTGTCTAACAACATTGCTGCCATCCAAGCTGATAATGGGGACTCTTCTGATGAAGATGCAGAAGAAAATCATGGTAGGTATTCACAGGTATTACTTTCAGTATCAAACCTCCAGGCAGATTCTGTGCTATATCTAGTGTGTATATACAATACAGACACATTTCAATATCATGTTACATGATTTTTATTCACGCTATTTTAATCACTGTAATTTGATGTAGTGCCCTTTGAATTCTATCTTAGTTGTTCCATATGCTGACATAGGCACAGCAAAATGTATTGTAAACATAATCTGCCACCCTTGCCATATTATATTGAAAACATTGCTTTCAGACTTTTTACTAAAGCAGTAAATTTTGTTTTATATAACTTCAGTGAGAGTCACCAACAACCTTTACTCAGCGAGATGGAACAGTTCAATACACAGTGAAGAAATGCATGTACATGACAAGAGTTTATCACATGAGGTTGCCAACAAGCCTTTTGCAAGATAAATTTGAATAAATCTGGTACACTGAGTTCTTTAAGTTCACATAGACATAATTTAAATTCTCCATACTAAAGAGACAGTTGCTATAGCTCGTGATGGGGGCAAGTTTTTGCTTAGTTACATAAGAGATGCTTTGCAGCATTAATACACTGTTTGCACTTGATAACAAAGGAACCAGCCCATTTCAGAGATGGTGGCCACTATGCAAAAGCTTGCCCCAAATCACAAGGTTTAGCAATAGTGTCTTTAGTCTGGGAAATTCAAATTGTTATGTTTTTGTGCAGTTAGATAACTCAGTATACCAGATTTTATTCAAATTTAACTCGCAAAAGGCTTGTTGTCTGCACTTATTATGAAGTAATGTTTAAGCCTCAAGGAGCACTGCTGACTCTGGCTTTCCTGGCAGCCAATATCCCATTGTACATGTTATTATTATGCACTTTATGTTGTCCGTTTCTGTTCATCCAATAGTGCATTCACTATCAATTACAGGATAATTATGAGAGATCTTTTTCTTCATGAGAAAAAATAAATGATTTTTTAGGTATTTGTTTAACTTTTCAGTGACCAAAATGTATTCAGCAGTACCAAAAAGGGAACAAAAGTACATGTACAAAAGCTTTTTAAAACACTGTTTCGTTGTAAAGGGTTTAAATATACACAAGATTTAGACCTCTATCATGGACAGTGTCCCACTTTGTGTCGTGGTGTCCAACATTCTTTTGACTGAAATACCAAAGCAACCAGTTTGGTCAAGTTATTGAATTTAACTCCTACCATTCCATTAAAAAGAACATTAGGAATTTACATACTTAAAAAACTACAGGCCTTGGCCTAACTATTCTGTTAGGTCAAGGCCTTTTATGTGGTTTGATATAGCACGTATAGTGCTCGTACACATGGTTTACATGTAGCTGGACTTTACTATGGTGATGTTAAAGACAAGTGACCATTCTCTTTAATAGTGTATTGAATGGTGTTAGTATTGAATGGGATGCAAAAAGACAAAAATAAGTGTATAAATTATTAAACTCAAGGTATCCGTTGAATGCATTAGGGGAAAACCAAGCTGCAGAGTCCTTGTCATTGAGTGTGAGTGGTGGAAGTGGACAGATGCCATGGCCAGCACATGTAGGCACTGAGGAACATGAAATATATGCAGAACGTAACAACCAAGACGGATCAGGGTCAGATTGGGACTGGGATGATGAGCAAGAGGTAACTTTTTTTTTGACAGAACTTCATTTGCAATGCCTATTTAACAAATCTCTCAAATCAATACATAGATTATTTTCTAGTAGTTTTCAGTGTTTTGTATGGTTTCACTAATATCGCTGTTTTACATGCACTCCACAAACATATAACAAGGCAGACTAAAAACATTAGATCATTAAGTCCCTGTTCATGTACACTTGCTTGTGCATTTTATTTTGATGCACAGTATGTGCATTTTCATTGAGAGGAAGTTTGGCAAATTTTTTTTTATTTAATTTCAAATGAATACATCACTGTTTGCCTTTCTTTCTGGTTTTATCTATCAATCATACTCAGACTCAAATGAGCTAAAGGCAAGCTGTTCTTCTTTTTAAGCTGATGCGGCGGCCAAGGAAGGCTTTATTGCATACCAGACACTGATCATAATGGCAATCCAGTTTAAGGTCATAAATTGAATGCAAGCTCAGGTTCCTAAATTATAGCATTTAATGGGCACACCAGACCTGAACTATGGGCAACCAGACCCAAACCACAAGCACCATGCCCGAGGAAAGCATACAAGAGAAAACTTTTGAGGTTGTCTTCCCAATGATATTGAACATATAAGTCCCATGCACCTAACCACACATTCATGACAATAGTGCACCTGAATACCCATTGTAAGGGAATGTTGCACATTCAGTCAGAATATATTTAATTTTAATAAAGAAAACATGATATTAAATGCACTTGAAACACATTTCAGATGAATTTGGGTACTCCCACTGCTGTTACACGGTCAGTCCGGAGTACGTAAATTTTATCTGATTAACATTTAACAATTGTTGACTGCTGTGATGTGGAATGTGATGTTTTGAACACCTGAGGGACGCATATTTTTTTCCTGCATGATCACTAAAGTTTATGCGCACTTCTTGTAGAAATGTTCCTTGACCATATATCCGTTATAGCGCCTCACTTGACTACAATTGTAAGCACATGGAAAGCGTACACGGAAGTAGGCATTTTGAATAAAGTAGTTACATAGTAAACATCCTCTCCATGATTTCTATCAATTCTACCCAAATATTACATGGTGGCAGCAGTCTAAACACAAACCCACATCATGACTATGCAACTAATGACTCAGCTTCCCCTGCCAAGAAAGTTTGAAGGTGGAAATGGGCCAAACCAGTGTGAATTGTGGCCTAAATGGATCAAGCGTTTTGAACAATAGTTGATCGCCTCCAGACTCAATGCAAAGCCAGAGCAGAAGCAGGTGAGCACACTCCTATATTCTATGGGTGATTGTGCTGATGATACTCTGATTACCCTCAAAATCAACAAGAAATCAGCAACGTATGGTCAAGAAGGCCCTAAATGAGTATTACGAAGGCAGGCGAAATGTGATTGTGGAGAGGGCTCGGTTTAACAAATGTAAACAACTGCTGGGCGAGCCAATGGATGCCTTCAAGATCTACACAGATTAGCTGGCAACTGCTAATATGGGGAGCTCAGGGAAAGTCTCATCAGGGACAAAATAGTTGGGGGAGTGTTAAATGATAACTGTCTAACACCTTGCAGTTAAAAGTGGAACTGCCACTTGACAAAACAGTCCAACTATATCGCCAGGCTAAGCCTAAAAGGAAAATTGTGACATAGTGAGGGGTGACAGAACACCAACTAGTGTTGATTGGGTCAACAAACGCAAACCTGCTCAGCCTAAACCCTGCAACCAAAAGCTCAAAAGCCACGCCCAGCAGTCACAACAACCCGGACAAAATTCCTCTACGGAACATGCAAATGGTGTGACAGACAACGCCACTCCCGCCTACACTGCCCAGATAAAGACGCAGTGGTGACAACTGCCAGAAAAAAAAAACCACTTCCAGTGACTGGTATGCTGACTGCAAAGCTGCAGTATTGCCAGAAGGAGATCACCGAGCGACTCTACGGCATCCAGAACCGGAGATCTTCATTACTCAGCCAATGAGCATATATCGACCTATTCATCGTGGCAAGAGTCAACGAGGTGAAACAAAGCTCAGCTCCCAACTTCCGAGTAGAATTTCCCGGGTTATTCACTGGCCTGGGAAAACTTTTGACAATGACAACACTCCAGGCAAGCACACAACGACTAACTACTTGACATCTCAACAGCTCATATAGCAAATAAACTTGATTAGATTTTCCACACAAAGGCAACATTTTAAAAATCTCAGACTAGAATGTATTTTTTTGAAGACTGAGAGCAGCCAAGCTGCAAGACCAGTTCTCAGCCTCTTTTACAAGGCGATAGTCGAGAGTACTCTTTTATTGAATATTATTGTTTGGTATACAGCATCTAGGACGGAAGATAAAGAGAAACTAGAAAGAATTGCAAAGTAAGCCAGCAAAATGATCAGTGAACACAGACAACTAAATGAAGCATGTATGACCAAAATATTAGAGAAAGTAAAGGAAATCCTATGTAACGATTCGCACCCACTCTTCGACTGTTACCAAATTATACAATCTGGAAAACGATTCAGATCATTGCCCTCCCGAACCTCGAGATTCCTAAAGTCCTTTGTTCCCACCTCAATTTGCACCTGATGAATATTAATGATCATGTTAATTCCTTAATTGGTGAAATTAAATTTTTTTTTTTCAAAATACAAGTGTATTTTTTGTAACAATATGTAACAAATGTAAAAGTGAACAAAGCAAATTTCCTTCTATGCTTGCATATTCGGAGAATAAATACGAAATGAACTGAATTGACTGTCCGCGAACTCCGCCTAGCTTGCGGACAAAATTTGGCCCCTGGCAACCGATCTTCAGTGAGCCCCGCAAGCTCATCTGCATCGTCTTACAATTGGCTTTGTTATGCTAATTTTCCAGGTCTGCTGAATCAGCGAACTAGTGATTACGTGAGGTTTGCGGACTAACTGCCGCTCCAATCTCTTTGTGGCCAATATGTTGGGAGCTCTTGGTTCATAAGACCACTGGCATTTCTGGGCATTTCATGCGGACTTCTCGAACATTCTTTTGACTTCTGTAGCATCCACTCATACTTTGTCGATGGCCCTCTTTCTTCTCTTGAAGCCCTGTGTTTCTTTTGCTTTGAAGCTGTAAAAAACCACTTTCTTATATTTAATTGAGTTTAAGATTGACGTAATTTTTCCCATGCGCTTTGAGAGAATGATACAGGTTGGAAAATTTAATAATGGGGAGGAAAGAAAGTTTGATAGTAGAACTTCACTGGCGTTCTAAAGTATAGTGGCGGAAGCTTTCTGCAAAATGTAGGTACATGTATTAAAAACGTTGCTTTCTACTGTGATGAATTTTGTTAACACTGCGCTATCCAGGCGTTTCTTACCCATTTAATTATCATTGAATTCATTTTAAGTTTGGCTTTGTTTCTTGTACAGTATGTTTTATTATAATTCCACCATGGGCTTATACAGGTATGTATTTCTTTAGTCATTATTTCCTTTAGCCGTAAATATCGGGTTGTCTGAAAATAATTGCACTAAAGGTTATTTGAGGTTGTCTGATTTGACCGTAATTCCCAGCCTACATTACCCCATAAACAAATGTGTCAGGCTCTGCAATCTAGGTGCAGTCTGTTGCTTAACCAGTGATACTTGGCGACCTTGGGTAGAAGACATGATTTTGCCATAGTCACAGGGATTTGAAGCCAACAATGACTGCGAGCAAAATTTTATTTTTCAACAACGTGGACCTTACGGGATGCGCAGACTTCCAATGATGTCTTGTTCCCGTACCAATACTCATCCTGTACAGATTGTCATGTACAGATCACAGGGGAGCTGACTACAAAGCAACAATGTGGAGGAAGAATGCGCTGTGCAGTATTTCACAAGCTGGTACATGCAAAGCTCGGTGCAGTACAGGGGCTAGCTTTAGCATTAAAAGTGCCCCCGCAGTATCTGTTGAAAAAGTAGGCAGTTTGGCCCCTAAAAGTGGTGAGACTGTGTAAACCTTTGCCAAGTTCAACTCCCTGGGTCTTTGGACTTTCATCAGAGTAGTAAAAAACACAGTTGAAAACATGGTCCTAAGTGCCTGAGAATGTTGAGAGTTGCCACATGAGCAATGGCTGAAAGCCGAGTTAAGAAATATCACTTTTGGGGGGGTAATCTTGTTTTGTGGGAATAATGAAAAAGTAACTGGTTAACCCACACAGAATGAAAAGAAACTGAAAGATTAGGGACCGGAAAATAATTAAATGTGTGTTTCAGATACTTCAGAGATGTTGGTATGCATTAGAGGCCCTAAACATATTGCTGACAATTACTTTGACAATACTGTTGCCAGGCAACCTCTGAAACCCTGCCCCTTTGAGAAGCCATTTGATCACTCGTGGCGTACGTTCCTGACAAAAGTCACCTAATAATAAAAATGAACCCCTCCAGCCCGGTCCCTTGGATAAGTCTCACTGGTCTATGCAAACGTGACAAGCTGCAAGCGCCCAGTTCCCACTGTCCTCTCTTGGCAATGAGCTGTCAATGGCTATGCTGCCGATCTCAATACAGTATATCCACAAAAAGGCCAAACAAAACGTGCATGGCACAAAATTAGGTTCTGCATGATTACTGGTGCCATTATTAGGCCTAGTCTGACTAGGCTCCAGTTTTGAAAATGATTACACTACCAAGTTTCAGTTCAGTGGTTTTTCTGATAGCATTAAAAATTAGAAAACTTCACGTTAGGTACAAGGCAAAATGGCGTGGCAAAATGAAGTTATCTGGCCTTTATGGGTTGCATTTTTTTTATACAGTACCCATGTCACCAATGGCAATTCCATATTTAAAATCCAGCGTTATCGTACACGTACATTTGTGAGAGTTGCTTCTGTCTTGGACTTGGTCGCAGTAAGTACTTGTTCATTACATCACAACGGTTTTCATGGAAGAATTATTGATCCCCTATAAAAGCTTCAATCAATATGTTTACTGTCTATCACAAAAAATTATAAGAGCCACAAATGTATTTTATTAAAAAAAAAACACACAAAATCA